AGACCCTGGCGATTGTTTGTCTGTTACCAGACTCGGTAATTCTAAGGTTGCGACGAGCTCGGCGCGCATTAGTATTGCTGTATGTGGCTTGCCATTGCTTGTTGTTGCTAAGCCATGGCGGCTGCTCAAATAGGAAGAGAGAGCAATGGTTTTCGGGTTTCCCTACGTTCGAATCAAATGCCTCCTAGACGGTCAGTTCCCTTCTACTCAAAGGTTACGGGTCTGTTGGTGCATTTTCTTGCTGTTGCCTCGCGTCTAAGGACCGACGCTCGAGCCGCTTCTTCATTGTGATGGTTAGTAGGAGGCTGGGTAGTGACCCACCTCTTCTTTGATCCGCCTACAGAGAATTACAGTATCCCCCGTGACGAATTTCTAACTTTCAACTTCTTCCTTCCTGGTCACAAGATCCTCAGTCTTATTGCTGCTGAGTCGCGTATCAGTAAATTTCCAACTGATCATGAGCGCAGCTGTGGCAAGACTGGCAGATCGCGAACGGTATGGCAATCAGAAGTCGCACTAACGACCTCCATCTTCGAGTGAACTTGAATATGAGAATGCCAAACCCGGCTTCAGGTTTAGATGCGCGGCTGGGAAGACGACACTGCGGATTTAGGAGGCGGCTCGTGCAAGCGAAGGTGGAGGATGGGTTGTCTCGAAAGGTGCAGGTGGATCGTAGGAATGAAGGAGGAGTGCTTTGCTACTAGTGGCGGCTCAGTGACCAATAGATTCTGCCTCAAGTCTTAGTCACGCGTTGTTGGCAAGATTAGCGCCCATGTGCAAGCACACGAGGAGAAGGATAGGGATGAACCAATATATAAATAGGGATACAGGGAAGGAAAGGGAGAAGAACGGCGGAATTCGCATGCGCTGCGGCAGTCGGCAAAACGGGCAGGGACACCGCCAAGCAGCGCAAGCGGCGTTGGCAGTGGCAGTGGCGGCGTGAGGAGAGCGGGAAGGAGGGCGAGGGGGCGGTGAAGGGTGGACTGTTGATGGGGCTGGTGCGCAATCATTAACTAGCTCGATCTCACCAGGGTGAGTCGCTCTGAGGGATGGCGATTCGCATTTGGAGTGTGGTGAATTGGGGGTGAAGGAAGGGGGGTTGAAGGGAGGGGGATTGAAGAAACGGGTTGTGAAGAAAAAGGGGAAGAGGGGGGGTGAAGTTGGTGGGTGTGAGAGGGGCGATCTGTGAGAGGCAATAAGTGAGAGGCGATGAGTGAGAGGCGTCGTGGTTTGGAGCATTGTCCACAGCACCCTGCGGCACTCCCTTCCCGCCCACCCATGCCAAACTCCCTCTTCCCACCCTCCAACTACGCTCCGCTCCTGCTTGCTGTTTCCATGCTCTCCTCGCACCCACTCGCACAGCCACACTGCTTGCCAACGCACCACCTCAGGACCATCTTGAACTCTTCGCTTACCGCCTCACCTTACCCATATGCACTCCCCTTTCACTTACCCCCTCCCCCTCCCCTTACCCCTGTCTTCACGCTTGCCTTCTTCCCCCCTCCCCCTCCCCAGCGCCAGGCTCTGCCATGACCTGTCACAACCACCCGGGTCGAGTGGAATGGTGGGGTCACCAATGGGTGGCCATGATCCCGGGGCGCTAGGAATTTTCAACGTGAGAGTCGGTGGTGAGAAACGCGTAGGAGTATTTCAAGTTTCTCAAGTCACTTGTAGGCGACGGTGGGAAGGGGGCAGTTGAATAGCTGGATGTCGCCCAGGTGGGAGTTGCTGAGAGTTGGTGAGGAGTCGGTGAGAGTGGCTGTATGGGTGTGAGAGTGTATGGAGGGAGGTGATGGGGAGGCCAGGTGAGATGAGAGTGTGGTTGCAGCCCAGGTGAGATTTATCGTTTCCCCATCCCATTCCCTCGCCATTTCCCTTTCTTTCCCTCGCAATTCCTGACTTCTTCTCCCCACCCATCCCCCATTCGCATCCCCCTCCCCCTCCTAACCCATCCATCCAACCTCACCTGTGGTTTCTCGATCAGCACTCGCTGATATGTGCCCCTACCGCAGAAACACGCTACTCACCAAGTCACTATCCCTTTTTCTCCCCCCTCTTCTTCCGCTTAGCCTCTTTCCCCCTTTCCTCCGATCCCCACCTCCCCCCAATTCACACACTCACGCCCTTCGGCACTGTCCCCCATATGCCTCTCATAAGCCAATGCGGATTCACCTCGTTTCCCCTCCTCCCCCCCCTCCCCTTGAGCTCCCCCCTCCCCCCCCCCCCCCCCCCCCCCCCGCTTCTCGTACACCCACATCTGGGCCACTCTTGAGGCGACTCAAAAGTCACTCACATGTTTGGGCCCAAAGATTAGCCCCCCACGCCTGAGCCATTGCACGGACTCCGCCCCACAGCGCAGTCGCACCGCACTGCTCACCCCCTTACACTCCCCTGTCCACCTCCCTCAGCTCGTTCCACGTCCTCACACCAGCTCCAACCCCTGTCGAGCCCTGTCCACCCTGCGGCTCCCGTGCCAAATACCAGACCCACGGATTTCCGGCCCCACATTGGCGCCGCACTGCCCTCACCCAGGCTCTGTCCTTTACCCTCCCCTTCCCACTCTCCATCCTTCCCCCATCTTCCCACCAGCTCTGCACCGCACCTGCTTCTCGTGCACCGAGTTCTGGCCCATATAGCCCCCCCCCCCCCCCCCCCCCCCCCCCCCCCCCACCCCCCGGCCTTGCAACACGAGCGCACTGTCACGGGCAAGCTGCGGAGTGTTGGGTGCCCTGTGGCGATTTTGCTCCTCAAAGGCGCGCAGCAAGAAAAGCAGGTGTGCGGGGCGTTGCGGGATGAAGAGAGGAGAGGCATGTTTCTCAGGTAATCATTGCAGTAGTGCTGCCACATCCAGCTGGGCGTTGGTGCTGGGAGCCCCGAGGGAGTGTTTTTCCTGGACAACGAGTGCTGGGAAAAGGAGGTAGGTAGGTGAGGAGAGGGATGTGGGCCGCATGTGCGTCACTGGAAGGGCAACGGTGTGGCTGCAGGCGCAGCTGGCGGCGCCTCATGGCTGAATGCCTGCCTAGTTATTCATGCACCAACCAACCAGACGTGCAGAGTTTGACCAGTAGCCAACACTCGCACACCGATTGGCAATTTCTCATCGCTGTCCCTATGTCTGATCTTCCCTTGCCACCCATCCGGTGTGCATACGCCAATCGGTGCCGCCCAGCCCACCACTCGCCAGTATTCTCCACTCACCCCATTCCCTTCCCCTTTCTCCGTTCCCTTACCCTCCCCTGCGCCACCCCGAACCAGTGGGTCACGCATAACATCCACCTCCCACCGTCTCTCCCTCCTGCACCAATCTTACCGGCCTCTCATGCTGCGCTGACCTCTCCTCCCCTCCGCACCCACCTCTCCCTCCCTTGCGCTTCAGCATCTTTGCTTATCTCATCTCTCACTTTCTCCGCTGAACATTCGTCACTTCTCTTCACCTGCCTTCCCCATCCCCCTTCCTTGCTCTCTCCCCATTCCCCGCCTTCAACTCCCCCTCTCCCCTCCCCGTCCCCCTCTCCCTGCCTCCCCCTGCCCTTTTCGCTCCCTCTCCCAGTCTCGCTTCCTCTCCCCCTTCCCTTCCCGCTCTCCCCTTCCCCTCCGCAAAGCATCACGGGCACCAAGGCACTGCACCGGCAGTACATGCGGCACCACGTGTTGCTGGCGTGAATCTCCAAGTGCGGTGTGCTGTGCTGGACCACGTGGACACCACCCCGGGCTGCCACGTGGCGCAGTGCAAGACGCGCAAGGGGCGCTGCGATGCCATCATAGCTGACAGCTGGTTTGGTGGCGGAGGTGAGGAAGGAGGCACTGACAACGCTGACACGCCATGCCTAGATCTCTGGATTGGGGCGAGCGGGTGGAAACAGGAACACTAGCAGTGGCGGTGTAGTGAGAGGCAAAGCCACTTTTATCAGAACCACAGTGGCAGCAGCAGTGAAGAGACTTTTGTTCTGCCCGTACGAGGACGTTTTGGGTGGTGGGCATGCGAAACTTTTTTCCTTGCTGTTTCAGACTCATTTGTGGCGAATCCGTTTGAGATGGGAGGCAGCGGCGCGAGGCGGAGATCCACATGTTGCTCGGCACGCTGCCGCCTCCCACATGGGAGGCACTAGCACGCTGCCGCGCGAGTCGAGTCCATCTTGAGAGACCCCGCATGCATTGGCACTCCTCTCTGCCCTCATGAGCGCCCACGCTCCCTCCCCCACTCCCTCGCCTCCAAGGCCAACTCTGCGCCTCGGGCAACAAGGTTCGGGAAGAGCCCCGTGGAAACAAGGGAGCTGATGAAGGGTAGGGAAGGTGGTGGTGACGGGGGAATGGGGAAATGGGGGAGGGGTGGGGGGGGGAGGGGAGAAGGTGGGGGAGGTGGATGAGGAGGGTGAGGAGAAGGGGGGGGGGGGGGGGTCAACAGAACAGAAGGGGCTCGGGAGAGGAACAAGAGCAGAGAGCGGAAGAAGCTGGTGAAGCGAGGCAAGATGGGGAAGATGAACACTACTGAGACGTGGAGGCAAAGTAAAAACTTAACATACAGCTATGTGATTTACCAAAATATCACTCCATACATGTCTCTCACACCTCCATCCTCAGCAATCACTTTGGCACACCTGACATTCAGCCTATGCAACCTACCTGCTAACCGACTTGGGGGAGCGGCCTCGTTCTCCTCCAGTTCTGTATGTCAACAACAAGGCAATGCTTGCCTTGTGTCGCGAGCAGAGACTGGAGCACAGAACGAAGCACATTGCTCTTTGCTACTTCCTTGCACGTGAGTTGCAACAGCGTGGTCAGCTGCGCCTTGATTACGTGGCCTCTCGGGCCAACACTGCTGATGTTTTCACCAAGGCCCCTGGGTCTGGTGATTATCAGCGTTTCTGCACTGCTCTTGGACTTGTGCCCATTTTGCCTCACCTGCTGGTTCCTTGACTTGCTCTTGTTGTACACTGATATATATCTTTATACCTGCTTGTTTACTCTTGCTAGGTTGTGATCAGTGTACTGCCTTGCTATTATAGCATAGGCAGCACAGGAAGCTCTGTAAGAGGGGTGAGCTGTTGGGGGCACCCCAAGCTGAGCACCTCGAGCGACGGTGGCAGGGAGTTGGAGAGCTCTGGCAGCTGCGCACACTTGCCAATGGCCAACTCTCTCAGCCTTCCAAGAGCGCTCAAACTCCCAGGAATGGAACAGAGGCTGCTGCAGCCGTCAACTCGCAGAACCTCAAGGCTGCCAAGGTCTGTAATACTCTCGGGAAGCTTCTGAATCGTCGAGCGTGACCAGATGCTCAGCTCCCGTAAGTTACTCAGCCTCTCCAGCCCCTCTGGAAGCTCCTGTATCATGTCGCACAGGTTCAGCTCGAGGCGTGTCAGTGACATCAGCTGAGTGAACGAGGATGGCAGCAGCTCTTGTACGCTATTTAAAGTCACTCGGAAAGTGTGAAGGTCCGTGAGCCCTCCGATGTCTTCCGGAAGAACCAGCTTTGGCGAGTTGGCGATGCTGAGAGACTTGAGTGCATGGAGGCTGCCGAAGCTCGCCCCCAACTTCACCATGGCGAGGCAATCGTGCACATTCAAAACATCCAGCGACGTGAGCTGGTGGAAGGAGTCCGGCAAGCCTGAGATCGGCAGCCGGTGCAGTGTGAAGTCCTTCAAAACAGACAGCTTTCCGAACCTCGTAGACAGGCTCGTGAGGTCGAGCGAGGAAATCGTCAGCTTCTGGAGGCAGTGGAGGGAAGTGAAATGATCTGGCAGCTCCGGTAGATTATGGCATGAGCTGATGGTCAAATCTCGAAGGCGCGGCATTCGCTCCCCGATGTCGTCCGGAAGGCGCTCGAGCTTGTCGCAGCCGCTGAAAAGCAGCCGCTCGAGACGACTGAACGTTACTCCTGACGGAAACAGCAAGCTGAATCGCGAAGAGTTGTAGTCGAATTCCAGCGACTCAAGGTGAGCCATCCGAGCGAACGAGACCGGGTGGGCGTTCTCACCTTCGAGATTGAGCTTTGTTTCGCCGCACAGAGCGAGGTTGGCGAAGGCCGGGAGGTGCACGAGGGTGGTGAGATCCAGCTCCTCATCATGCTCCGAGATGTCAACGGAGAGAGTGGCGAGAGAACATAGGTTGGTGAATTCTGGTGCTTGAAGAGCTGCGCTGTGGGTTAGAGTCAGGGTGTGCAGGTCCGTGAGGAGCGAGAGAGAGGCAGGTGGCTTCCCGTGTTGATGCAGCATCACGGAAAAGGTTTTGGGCCCGAGTATCCGAAAACGGGGTACTCTTCCGAAATGTTGCGGTAATGTATACCAAGGTTTCCAAAAAACACCCAGGGCAATCCGCACCCCTAATCCCACACAAGGGACTCGCCACTACCGAGTCGCGCCTCCTTGGCGGGACAACGAATGTCCCGCCAATTCCCTCGAAAAACGCAGCGCACATTGCAGGCATGCAGCGGATGCGCGGCCCGGACAACATGTGGTCCAATATACGCGACATTGGATGTCCAACTGCACACCAGTATTGGGTGCCCTGCAGAACAACCGCCCACAACACTTGGGAAGTGAGTGCACCACTTCAACACACACTACACGAATTGTGCATCCAAAACGTCATCAACACTAACTCAGGTAACCAAGTACACAAAATAACAATCCGTCAAATAACACATAGCCCTACCACTGGTGTCTTCCCTCTCAGCATCATCCACACCCGCCTACTCTAACAACATATAAAACCACCCTACTCCACTCCCAACTACACACCGCCAATAGCACTACCATCTCAGAGGATTCCGCCAGGCATACCATCGTCGCACACTGCACTATCTTCCTTCCCCTCGGCCAACCCACAAGGCTGGCCGCCTGCCGCACTTCCATCACGAGCACACTTCGTTGGCGTCCTTCGAAGGCGGCTTATCACCTCCTCGTTATGCGCGCCCATGGCCTCGGGCACCTGGCACACTGGTATGCCCAATTTGTCCGCCTCCTGACTGTACTCGCCCGCCACCATCCGCACGACCCTTTGCCGGGTGCGAACGTCCCGATACAGTGGCCCTTCAGGGATACAAAAATACGCCGGTATCTCGTCTTCATTCTCCTCGTCCTCCTCAAACTCCACCATAATCACGCCCCACTTTATGAGCAGGTCCTCGTCGCAGCCCACAAAATCCCACGAAGTCATATACATACCAGGGGCCCTCTTAAAATTCTCAATAGCCATCTGCAGCCTTGTCAGCACGCTGACAATGGGCTCGAACATCAAAGCCGCGCCGCCGCCATCCAGTCGCTTCATCACCGACACCCACGCCGTCGGCACACAACCCGCGCGCCACCAGCTCCTCCGAATAGCCGTCGACGACATCAATTTGCACGCCAATTCCAGCCTCTTTAGCACGTCGGGAAATGACGGTCGCGGTACCTCCCCCTTCTTCTTCCACTCGTTGCTGTCCATGGCGTCCTTCATGAACCAGTATTGGTGTATTGCCTTGACCGTGTTCACCACCCCGGTCGTCGACGGGATGCTGCACCAGGGGGGCCCGCCATAAAGCTGCACCACCTTGACACTCAGCAGATTCTGCGTCGCAAACCCGGCAACTTTTTCCGACTCGAACACACAACCAGTAAGCTCGTGCTTCGGGTCGTACACCAGAACAATTGCACTCTCGTTCTTTGCGAATAGATCCCCGTCAAACTTCACCATGTGCTCCGTGAATAGCTGTAGCGACACGACGACATCAACACAATTTACGTAATCAGCACCAGCCTAATAACAACGTGCATTTGTGATTACATTCCAGTAAGCCGCGCGGATGCTCACCTCAGAGGACATGCGTCCGTTCTTTGCGTAGCGCACCACGACACTATGCTCACGACGCCGCCCATTGTGTACAGCCCTGCCATCATCCCGCCTCAACACCACAAGCGGATGACGCCACTTGGAACCAGAAGCGTTGGCCAGCAAACCCACCGTCATATGCCACTCGCGCGCGATACTGAACTCCGCGTCCATAACAGACGAAACAGGGAGCCTTGTAGGTATGAACGGGAATACGGAGAACAAGTACACATCGTCAGGATGGGCTTTAAGAGCCTCCAGGAGAGCCACTACCGCCGCCATGCTGTAGTATCACGTCTGGCTAGCACAAACAACGCAGACTTGATATCCGCTCTGGTGCTCCTCCAAAACCTGGTGTCGACTACTTAGACTATATAGCCGAGGTTGAAACGATGAAGGTACGTACCAAGCCTCCTCGCCTTATCCCGAACAACCAGAGGTACGGATCGACATTGGGTCCGTAAAACACACCACCTGTCACATCAACCACTAGCCGCACACGGTGCGCACCACGGATTTCATTGACCGGTGACCACATACTGTACACATCACCGCCACAAGGTGGCATTATTTCAGTGGATCCCCGCACGCACCAATGGGGTTCGCCGATCCGCTCCGGTATGCACAACCGCGCTTAGCACCAATGCACACCGTTGTACAGCGACCGCACTTCGATGTCCAAAAAAATAAGTTACACGCGAATATAATCCCGTACACATAGAGGTACTTCCCCGACTAACACCCCGTTACTACAACACTGCATGTCTGCATACTGAATCAAAACCTCGCAATGCGTGGGACACACAACATTCAAACTGCGCATACCATAACTCTTGCCATATGGTTACAAAAACACACACCAACCTACACAATTAATCAACAGTCCACGACCATCAATATTGTTTCACAATGACTCTACTCAACATGGTTTGTGTGTTTAGGGTGGCAGATCACCTTCCCGGCGCTGATACTCAAGCCAGCACCACGCCACACAGCATATTAGCCACGATTGTAGAATTACCCCACACATGAACCCCGCTCTGACAACGCCACTATCAGAACATGTGTGTCATCCCACAGTCACTGAAGCGCCGACCAGATCACTCGATCAGCAGAAACTTGTTCACTAGGAGCACCTTGGGGTTGCTGAAGCTCCGACAAATGTGCACCACCCTCAGAATCGTGGCCACCTCCACCACAGCGAACCTCGTCTCCTTCCGGTGGGGTGTTAGCTGGATGCATGTGGTTAGGGGGCAGAGCCCAGCCTGCTCAAAGTACCGCACGTACATGTAGCCCTTTGGCTCCCCCTCATCCCCAGCCGCCTTGAAGATGCACAACACCTTGGCAAAACACTCCCCCCCCTTAGGCGACAACAGTGCCACATCAGAAAACCACTTCTCCTCCGGGCTCGCTTTCACAAACGTGCCCGTGGCCACCAAAGCCCCCCCACGCGTGCGCGGTATCGCCACGGCGGTGTGTGCCTGTGGAACACGGATGCGGGATGCGCATGATCAGTCACCTTACGTCTCAATGTCGCAATCTCACCAGCAAACCCCGCAATAACTTCCATACTTGGACGCTCTCCGCCTTCACCCCTGCCGACCGCATGCATCCCACTAGATCCTTCATGTCGTCACCGTGCGACAGGTTGTACATCGCCAAGACGGCATCATCCTCCGCCCCAGGCACCATGAGCCTCCCCTTCCTCGTGAGGACCGGCTTCTTGGTCCGCACAGCCTGCACATCGGTGAATGCAACGTTCATTACCACGAGGACGGATGTGGCGGCATTGTGTGTGGCCGCCAAGGGAACCAATCTCACAGACCGAAATGCACCCCTACCTCTCTGAGAGCAGTGGTGTACTGCCACCCGCCGCCTGCATCAGCCGCCACCTCGCGGCAAATCTCACGTTGCACCTCCTCCTCGACTATCCTACGCGGGATGTCTTTCCAGTTGCCGCCTCGCACCGGCACCTTGACCGTGCCCTTGTGTGTATGCTCCCACAGCTTCGTGTTGTAGTGGTGGGGCATGCCCCTGAGAATCACATTCTCTAGCAGGTGCTTGATCATGTGCACCTTAGGGAACCGCCATCCCGACTTCTGATCGGGGTATGCTTGTGGGAGAAGGTCGACCAGCCTGCCCAATCCATCGCACCAAGAGGTACAGAGGTGTAAATAAGAAGTCCATATGTCCATCTACTCGCGCAAGATAACACACATATGCAAAGGAGGCAACCGGTGCCCACTTGTATGCGAGGTCCCTTGCGTGTGCGAGCGACGCCCTCGTGTGACCATCCACGCCAAGAAAGGTCTTGTAGAACGTTGCGTATAACCGGAAAGCACGCACCCTCATAGCCCTCAGCTCTGCGTCCGGCCCCTTCCCAAGCGCCCCCTTGTTCGCCACCAGAATGGGCATGACTTGCATCATGGCGCGGTGCTCAAACGCCGCGTAGTTGGCTCCACTGGCCAGATAAGAGGTTCCTCCAGGCAGCCGGAGCACTGTGCTCGGAGTCTCTGTCTTTGTGGTCTTCTTTCTCCTGCACGGAAGGTATGGGTAGCACTGCAGACTGGAGGTATGAGGACATGTCACAAACCAAAGCCCACTTCTGAACGTCATATCAAACCCATTGCATGCACGCACCCCTCCACCACGTGCCGCTCGGGCTTGCTGAGTGTGTCGATGTGGCACTCGATCATGTGCAGAGCAACACCGGAGTCCAGCACATGCATAGTGTCAGCCACGCTTGCCCCGTATGGGTTTCTCCACTCAGTGTCCGAGAAGTTCCACCTCCGCAACACACACTGCACGTGAAGACACTCGTGTAACTAAGTCAGTAACAGCCGTAATACTTTGCCTGCCACATGCACATGCGTAGCTGTGCGGTATATCTTGCAAATCACCTCAATCAGGTGTGTTGACCATTCCAACTACACTTTCTCAGCCTCCTTCACGATCTTGCAAGCTAGAATCTGCTGCACCGCGTGCTCCTAGGAAGCAGGGGTCCTGATGGTAGATTGGAGCTTGAGGTTTGCCAGATCAGCCTCCTCCACGTAGCATGTGGTGCAGGGTCTCTTGGTACCGGTCTGCATGGTGGCAGTCGCACGACATGCTTCGATGAAGTCCGCTGGGTAAGCGTAGTAGCAAGGGACCGCCTTCACAAGTTCCCCGTTTGCGTCCGGCACGTAGAAGAAACGAATGGGACAGCTGGTTCAACATGCAGTTCCACGCAGAGTTGTAAGATCATCAGAAAGACGCCCGAATAATCTAGGACGGCACGTTGCGCATACACACAACGACTATCACTGCCAAGTAGTAAACAAACGCACTCGTCTCGGTCGTCGCTGCATCGTATATCCAAGAACACATTATGGACTCACTTTGCCGACTCCCGCATGAGTGGTGCCAATATGATGCGTATGGCCTCTTGGAAGACCCGGGCCTTCTCTGTAGAGGTAGCCCACCCGTTAGGAAAAGGCAACACGGCCGCCAACACGTGACCAGGCTCCGTCCATCGCAGGTGCTCAGGAATGTTGAACAGTGTTATGAGTACTGGCCACGCTTGCCGCCTGCCGTTCCTTGTTGCGTCCGTGCCATCGCTATACACAATGACACCCAACACCCATGCTTTCTCGTCTTGTATCGCTTTCTGCGCTCAAACAAGGACGGCCATGTATTGGCCTCAGCATTACTCATCGATATTGGGACGCCAAGCCCCACAACGTCAGCCCACAACACATCTTACCTCTGCTTCCTGCATCCACTTCCCAGTCTCGGGGTCGCTGAAGCGCCGTTTGCCTGTGGTAGGGTCCAGCTCCGTCCTCGCTTTGGTAACGAAGCCTGGTACAGCGACGAAAGTTTGCACCAACTTCTTCACCAACTGCATGTGTTTGCGTTCAACGTTACGGGTTGCGGCGTCATGTTTAGGGTGCAACGAATGTGGCCGTTATATTTTTGGAAGCTCGTCCCTAACCTTACCTGCTCCGTGTCGCGATAATGTAAAAGCAACTTCTGGACCTCTCCTTTGGGCCCGCGAACAATAATCTCCTCCACAAGCCACGGAACCAGGTCCGTGGGCGCTCTCGCGTTAGCCCATCGTCGCACATCCAGAGCATTACGCCAGCGGCGGAGAGCGCGGAGATTGAAGCGAGGGTTGCGGAAGATGTGGAGCAGGCAGTTTACTTCGCGCCGCGAAAGGTCGGCATCGCGGATGAACAGGTAAATTGCAGTGAGCGTGTCAAAGACATTGCCGTCCTCGCTTTGATCACTACATGTGGACTGTGTCTCATCGTCTACCGTCCCTTCATCACATGCTGTCGCTTCCGCCACCTCGTCAGCGGCCGCCATTGCATCGTTAGCTAGCGAGTTCGGGCTAGACGTCTTGCCACGGCGCCCTACGGTACACGCGGTAATTGCCGCGTAGGCCTCCAGATAGGCATGAGCTAAGCGGGCGTCACACTTGCCGAGGATGTTGCATCTGCAATCTGCGCTCTTTGCAAGGTGCGACTGAAGCGCACAGTCATCCCGAAGGACACGCGGACAACCCCTACAGCGGCAGCCCGCCATATCCGTAACACGGAGCCCTAAAAAGTCCGTGCACTAACGCATGCCGCAGTGGACACTGGGGTGGGTATCCACCCCAGTCACAGTCACTGGCTCAACCTCACCATAGTCTTGTGATCATGATGTTGCTATCAAGGAGAATACGCAGAACTATGTACCGAGTGCCACTGTTGACAATACAGGAGAGCTTCATGTCGGATCAAGGTTGGCTACGTCATGTACCGCCTGGCACCATTGTGTGTGTCCCCACAGCTGCCTTGAGGTTCGCTGTGTTGTAATTGCACAAACTATAGTACTCCGCGAAACAATATGCTGTACCCTTTTGGGTGATGTTGGACAGTGGGTGATGTTCCACAGTGTGTGTGGATCGACATTACAGTGCGTCGCTCTATGTGGTACGCATTGAAACATGACTGTCTAGAGTACAGTAGGTACAACATGGCGCACAAATGGTCCCAGTAAACTCGTGCACCAGTTTAACGCAAACGGATTTCGCCAGAGATGACGTTTACACGTTGGATCCATAAAAAGCCCATCTCGAGATTTTTCTTGCCAGCAATACACGGCCGACGTGGACACATGTCACGTCCTGGCGAATTCCCGCCCAACTGCATGCAGATCTAGTAGCTTCTCCCATCAAGCTCGCGCCCGAAATTCCCAGGCGACATGACTTTCCATTTCGCATAGAAAGCCAAGTATCCGCTACTGTCTTATGTGTGCTCTGTGTTAGTTCTTGTCACACTCCATCCAATGTTGTCCAGACTTATGTAACGCCCTCCAATGACGCAGCATGTTCGTGGAGGTATGGCGCGACACAAAGTAGGTGCTAAAAAACTACGTAGCGGTACGAACAATGGAGACGTCACAGAGGTGCTGCCCTCTGAGAGCGCTCCGCACGGTTCCGCCGTCACAAGGGCGACTCGAAGTACTTCTCGCACGCAGCAAGGATCCGTGGATCGAGAATCAAAAAGCGCCGCTAAGAAGGTCGACCTGCCCAAGTACAAGACGAAAGTTAAAGTGAATACGGTGGACCCCGAACCAGATGACGTCGTTGCCCGCGTCGTCAGAAAGTGTAAGGATGTCTCTTTCACATCCATGTCTTTGAACAACCGCGTTGGACAGTCGTGTGTCGTCACCTCCAGAGATCTTGTGACCATCGCGGATGGTCAGTGCCTCACCGATTAGATAATCGACTTTCACAACATGTGAGTCTGCACAGCGCTGGTGAAGCTCGTCGCCGACAAAAACGTCAACTCACCTGGGCGTCCGGACCCCCTCTGTGCAGATTGTTGAGCATCAAACATCCACGGACCCCTAATAGCAAGACCTGGGCGGTTATGGACAGCATGGCGTTTCAGTACGTCACAGGTTACAACAAGCCGTTCCAGCACGGGAAGGGGGATGGTGTGCTCGCCGTCGACTATCTGGCCATACCGGTTTTCAAGGGGTGAGCTGCGTGGTGTGTAGGCTGCCACGTCTATATTGCTGCGTCGCCTATGTCCATAACCCGATGTAGTGTCCTCCCTCTTCCACAACTCCATCGACAGAAACCACTACTCGCTCATCATCGTGTGCGATCCGGCGAGGTTGTGGTGCAAGGACGGCGAGGGCGATGGGGACAAGCTGCAGATGGTCCTGTTCGATAGCGAGGGCGCACATGCCGGGGATCCAACCGTCTTTGATGGCGCGAAGCTGTGAGTATGGTCGGCATTGGAAACTGACTCATGAATGCTTGTGCGCATGCGCCTGAAAAATCCCCTTCTTGTACTGGTGCGCATGCTCAGGCTGCTGGATATCACGACCAAGCAGTTGCACCTGGACTACGACCACAAGCGGCTTGTTTCCACGCTATTGAGCGCGGACTGTGTGGTGATGCAGGTATGAGCCATGTGGTTAGGCCCTTATAAGGTTGGGATGGAATTTCCATACGTGATAGCCCATGCACTGACAAGCCTGCCCATTCTTCCATGCAGGCGCACCAGCTCATCATGCAAGACAACCAGGTTGACTGTGGCGTCTTTTTGTGCCACTACTTACGCGGACTCGTAGAGTCAGACTTCTCAATGGTGCTGAAATATCTGTATTTGGACGGCGTGAGCGGTGGCCAGTACCGCCGGCGCATGCGTGCGGATCTGTGCGCGCATGCATCCTGTGAGCTCGTACCTACGCTGACCACACGGGGGAAGATCGTTCCACCACAGTATGCACCTCGGACATCGGAAATCGGCGCCGTGAGGGCGTCGGACGAGGTGGACATGAGGAGCCGTCTCGCTCAGTACCAGGTCGAGGTGTACGGACTGCGGAGGGACCATGTCATCTGGGCCGCGACAGTGACTGCGCTCGGGAACGCCATGGGGTACAGCAGAGATCAGATGCTCGCAGCTGCCGCGTACGTGGTGAAGACGGACGGAGGGGCTTATCGGAGCATTGAGGTTGCGACATCACCCTCTACGCCGCCTCACCTACCTTGTGAGTGCACCGGTGGACCCCTCCCCGCCGACCCCTGTGGCGCGCAATCGTGTGCGACGGGAGGTTTCGTGGCACACACGGACTTGGGCGTAATCCATCAGCACCCCCGGCCCCTTCCTCCATGCTCGCGTGTGTCGCTGGCCCATGACAGTCCTGGTGGGCCGAAGACCCCTACCAACGGGAACGGTGAAGTCGGCCCGGGTGTACGTGCGCTGACAGAGGTCCTGCTAGACACGCGTGCAGCGAAAAGGAGGGAGAAGCGATCGCGTGTCGAGGGCGGAAGCTTGGCAGCGGAAGGTACAACAGCCACTAGTGGTGGGGGGGAAAGTGGTGGGTCCTCACAGTATACCGGGGTGCGGCGAGAAAAGAAGAGGGGGACATGGAGCGCGAAGATATTGGTGAGGGAGCCTGGTCAGGCCAGGCGGACGCAGATGCGGTTGGGGTCATACACACAGGAGCCAGAGGCAGCTTACGCTTACGCCGCAGCTGCTCATGTGTTAAGGCCTGGCGTCGTCATTCCGCGCACAATCCAGTTGACACCAACGGAACAAAGCCTTCTGGCAGGATGCTCCAAAAAGGTCATCAAGCTCCTTGTCAGGAGTCGGATGTGGTTCCACTGGAGAGAGTGGGAGCAGGCGGTTATGGACTGCCATGGAAACATGGATAATCCTGAGGCCGAGACCCCAACCGGGTCTGCAGCGGGAGGGGGTGGGGACGAGGTGGAGGAGGAGGGGGGGCAGGACGCTGATGTCGGCATGGACGATCGTGTCAATCATACCGCTGCTGTTGGAGTATATGGTAATGGGAGGGATGCACATAATGGAGTTCCAGGGGATGATGGAGTACCAGGGGAGGACGATTTGGTAGGGATTCAATTTGGAGAGTTTGACCCGGCTAGCATTGGCCTGTGATGGATGAGGTTGGGAGTATGTGGTTAGCTGCATGAACTAGAATGTATCAAGGGTTTGGGTTCGATTGTACCAAATTGTTTCCATGACGGTTTTTCCCGACGCCATGCTCGCTTGTATGATTTTCTTCATGTTGTGCTGCTGTTTTTCTAAGCAGTTCCCTAATAGCGAGATGGAATGCACTTAACAGATACAATGTTGACACCGCATGGGTGTTCGTGATCGGCTCAGTGTATCCAACATGACCACTCGTCTTTACCACTCCGGATTCAGATAGGTGGAGTTGGCACAATCTTAGTGGCGCGTAATCTGGTTATGCTGACGGGGCCAACAAGCACACTTCGGGCTACTCTAAGCGAACACCAAGCATTGGTCTATACCTTTTGGTTTGACTGCTTTTTTGTCACAGACGGCGGGAGGCGTTCACGGGAGTACGAACATGGAGATCTCGGACGCGTCGATCGAGCCCCAGCCTGCTTCCAGGTCACAGCGGGTGTCCAAACCTCCGTCGTACCTGCGTAACGCATACCAGCTGAGTAGCAAGCGACAGCGCGGGAGGAAAGCGGAGCGGGCGGTTGCAGTGCCAGCCAAACGCGCAAGGGTTCCCCATCCGAAGGGGGTTCCTCTTAATGGTAATAGTTGTTCAGGCACGACTACGAGCATGGCGTATGATTACCATTCGTGTATTCCCGTCTTAACGTGACCTTGTTCTTTTTGTTTGTGTGCAGCTACAGCATCCGCTGCACCGGAGACTTCAGTGGCGGAGGCACCTCAAGCAGAGGTGGAGATAAGAATCGGTGCGGGCGATGAGGACATCGAGAGTGAGAGCGAGGCACGCCCGGCGCCGTCCCGGTCGAAGAACTTGGCCTCTGTCATGGTAGAGTCTCAGGCGACTACCACCACCAGGCCCCGACCTCCGCCCGTGCGCGTGGCGGACAACCCTTTCGTGGCCATGCCTGTAGCTGGGTCGTCTCGTGACCCGTCAGCGCCCGCGGAGGAGACACAAATTCTGGTTAGTCGAGCGGAGTTCGAGGCCTTGAAGAAGGCGCAAGAAGCGAGCGCGCGCAACGTGGCCCGTCTTGAAGATGAGCCGCAGTCTGCTAAGGCTATGCAGGCACGTGCACCCCCTCGCAGGCCGGACGAGCATGTCTCGGGGAGCGGTGAAGCTTCTGGTCGGAAGCGGAGGCGTCGGGAAGTACTCGTCAAAGAGGAGACATCCGACGAGGAGAGCGAGGATGAGGCACCCGCGAAGAGGGGGCATCTGAGGGTGTCCAAGTCACCGGTCTTGCAGCGGGCGCTCAATTTTTTGCCTGCAAACAAGGCGTGGAAGGTGGGTTGTGACGAACATCGGTGCCTCCACCGTGTGTCTAGTGGCTTTGCACCCCTTCCTACGTGATTTTAGGGATATTGACGGCAGATGTGTGTGATTGGTGGTTTTGAGCTGGTGGCAGCGCTCATGCGACATGGTGAAAGATTACCTCTTCTTCGATAAGGAGAACGACCGGATTACGTTCTATCCGAGCAGCGATGACAAGATGGTGGGAGTGTGTGTAGTGATCGAGCGCCTGCCTTTCGACTTCGCAACATTGGCTCTGGCCGCGGACAAGGCAAGACGGCAGGATTTGAACAAGGCCCTTTAGTGAGTGGAAGTCGGGCGCAGCAGGAAGGACGCGGGACATCTCGTGTCCATGGATGGGGCTTTTCTGCGACGAGCGAGATACGCGCAGCCCATGGGCCACGAAGAAGGACCGTACTCTGGAGGAGATCCGATCGCATTATGGGCTGCTGCTCGGCGTTGACGGTAAGGTGGAGGTCCGTGGATGGAGAGGGAATGTATGCTGGATGTGTCGATCGTGGACTTACGTGAGCATGTATTTGTGTGCAGATCCCCTGGCATTGTCCAAGTTTGGGAACGATCGGGAGGGGATGCCGTTCGCCTCTGCCGCATTCGTGGCATGTGCGGTAGTGGCATTCAAGACGAAGAAGGTGGCTGGGCCACTGACGGTGAAGCTTTACCACCTGGCGTGGCTGGAGCATGAAGTACGTGCTTTGTGTTTGTTTGTGCTGTGTGGTCACCCCTCCTCCCGGCGGCTAAGGGGATGTTTGCGTGTCGCAGGTGATCGACACGCTGATGAACTGGGAGGCGAGGAAGGCGCGACTGTCGAACTCTGCTTGTGGAAACGCGCAGGTGGTCGATGGGCTCGTGATCCTTGCGCATGAAGCAGTGTCGAATGCGATCAGAATCTTCAAGCCTAAGTACGACGTGTCCTCGTGCTCGTGGACCTGGGGGCGCCATGGCCTTCGGCTGTCCTCGTGCGGGCTGGAGGACTTAATTACAGGCCATGCCGCACCCCGTGATGGGGCGGAGGTTCAGGCGGAAGAGATCTCTGGGTCGCTTAGAGGGCCGTAAATGGTGGGGGCTGAAAGCATGTTTGCTCAGCTAGGGTTTGTCGTCGATTTGTTGCCGTAGTTAGGCTGTATATGTTTGTTGTGCTTCTCTTGTGTATGACACTCTTTTGTGTCGTCTTGCCGTGTGACAATTACGGATGGGTTGTGCGTTGTTGGACACGGGGCAATCTCACTCAAACACGTAGATGTAGTCACACCACGATTTTAGCGGACGCCGTATCCGCTATCTTAATCACAGGAGTGCGGTGAGTGATGGGCGAGGATACGTGCCTCCGTTTTTATGAGATCCGCACATTACTGGGGGCGCGCGTCGGGCATCGACGTACGTAGACCATTCATGGCACGCACACAGAATTTGCGATATAGGGGGATGTGGTGGACGCTGTTGGCACATCTGACGTGGCGTAAGTATGATGTGGTTTACCGCATCTCACGCGTCGATGGCCAGGACAACGCACCAATAGGGGGAAGTAGCAGAGCATGTGACCACGTGTCCAAATCCACGCCGTGCGAACAGTGGGGGGCCTATGGAGACACGTGTCGCGTATGCAACGGGCGGGTGCTTGATGTACTCTACCGTCAGGGATTGGTGCACGACCTGGTAACACCGTCATAGGTGGCGAGTATGCGTTGGGACGGCAGATTTAACGAAGGTTTGCCAGCGGACGGGCGAGCCGGGCCCGCGCGACGTTTTAGTGGGTGACGAAGTGTGTAGTTACATCGTGCGCGGCCATTCACGGTCCCACAGGTGTACGGGCGAGATGCGGGGGGATATCGGTGTGGATTTGCGCCGCGTGGCATGGTGGGCGCAAACCGGATGCACACAGATGTCGCGAGAGTGTTGGGTGGGTATGCGAGCACTACGCACATGTTTGGGATAACAAGAGGTCGTATGGTGCGTGTGTGGCGGCGCGGAAGTGGGTGGGGAGGTTGGTCCTGTGAAATGCACGCGCTAGTTGGTAAGTGGGCGTCGAGAGTGGGTGTATTCACGCGTTACACCAACGGGGTGCTCACATGTGTATGGCGGGGATCGATGTGTGAAGCCGCATCGATGCAGGCCGCGCGGCAAGGGGGGTATGTACTGTATGCGGCACAAGTACCTTGGTGTACGGTGTCATGTGACACGTGTGACGGGCAACTCTATCGCAGCTTTCTGGCAAGATCGCGGTTGTGGGGAGGTGCCTGAAATGTGACGCAAATGTGGCGAAGGAGTCACTTTTTCGCAACGTGCACACTTGCGGGAATTCCGATGGTTTTGACCTTGACTGGAAAACATCGGGCCGCGGTATCCATAAAGTCACTTTTCCGGGTACATTTCTGCAATACCTTTTCCGCGATGAGGTAGTAGAGCGAGAGGTCCTGCAGTTGAGTGCAGCTGCACACAAAATGGTCCAAGCCGGCCTCGGTCACGTGATGCTCGTCCTCCCTATCCCAGGCCCACTCTGGAGTAATCCCCTTTCCCACGTGGAGCGATACGAGCGTCGGGCATGCAGCAGCGAGGCGAGCGAGGAAGGCGTCGTCGATGCTCTCCACGCTGTTGTCGCTCAGATGCACGTGCGAGAGGTTCTGAAAGCACGCGATGGGTGCGGTTAGGTCTCGGAGCGAAACGGCACGATTTTCCTTGACGACGAGCATAGAGATGTGCTGGCGAGCCAGGCGACGCCAGCGCTAGCACACGGAGGCGATGAGGAGATTGTAGGCGACGTCTGTCAGCGCGGGCGGAGCTGTCAACGGACTATTGCTCTTCCGTCGAAACGAGCTTTCGCCGGGGGTGTTGGGCTCATCGCCGTACGGGTTTTCGGAGGTGTAGGTTGGTCGAGGCAGCACAAAATCGGTTGATGTGTTGATTTTGATTGGATCGTAAGAGGTAAGCTGCTTAGAGGGCCATAAGATGTTTATGAGTAGGTCGTTCGACAGACCGTGGATGTACGAGCGAGCCATATTGTCTGGAGAAGACTAGCTTCTGTAACGTAGCAGAAGCATCAACGGCCGAGAGAGGAGACAGCGACATCAGACCGGCAGGTCAACACGAAGTTACTAATTGCCTGCTGGAGCTCTTGTCGCAGAAGTTCAGCTTCTCGACTTGTCAGCATTGAGTCGCGGAGCTGCTCTGCTCTACCTCGCTCCGCTTTTGCGCATCCGGCAATCTCCTCCGCACATCACCCATCAAAACAGAAGAGGTGGACTTACGAAAGTGTGCTCCCTTTCCATGAAAAAAACACTCTCGAAAATTTAACCAAGGGAGTCTAGCATGGTTTTCCGACAGGACATAGTGCGGGAAACATCCCATCACTTACCCTGGGGTGTGGATCACGTTTACGAGGTACTTACGGAAGAAACGCGAGCCACACCAGAAAAATCGGAAATTGTTAGGATATTTCCAGGAATTGCTCACCATCGGGGCATGCTGAAACGCAAAATGATGCCGACCATGATTTGAATTTCGAAGTTCGAAGCACCTGCGTGATGGAAGGTGATTCCTTAGTGCAAATTTTCGCCACCAGTATAGCCTTGTTCTGTAGTGATTCAACAACTATTTGCATCTTAATAAAACGGCCATGAATTATCGTGAATGTAATTATGTGGTGGAGCTATTCAGCATGCACTATATCATGCTTTCGAATCTAATGCATACTATCATGCAATGAGACATGTACAAATGCAATATGTCACGCGAATGACTGCAGGTATTCAACAGTCATAGACTTGATGTCTTTCACGGTGCAAATAGTTTCTGTGAGAGTCTTGAAGCAGTCCGGCAGATTGAGAATGATGGAGATTACCACCACCCAAGATGGTAACTCGAAGCCGGCACATTTGAGTTGGTGCATAAGATTTCCAACTGGATCGAAGTAGGAGCGAAGACTCATTGTTGGGTCCATCCGTGTAGTGATGAGATCTCGGAGGAGAGCCACTTGTGCATGGTTACCCATGCAGTCAAACCGCGCCATGATGCATCCCCACATGTCCTTCGTCGTGTTGGCTTGAGCAAGTGTGAGCGAGAGCTGAGGATGGACGGCTGACATGAGAAGATAGTACGCATGCTCCTCTTTTTCTTCATCCGGCAGCGACGCAATTGAGTGGGCTGTTTTAGGGGCTGCACCATTGTTGCCTTCAGTAGCATCTCCACAGCTGGTTGTGGAGGAGGAAACGGAAGGGCGGGAAGCAACCTTGGGATCTCCAAGAAAGGAGATCAGCCCAAGGACATTGAAGATATAGCATATCTTTTTCTTCCATGGAATGAAGTTGGAACCATCCGGTTCCAAGATACGTAGGGTGTGCGGACCGAGAGGCGTCTCAACTTGAGCCATCAAGTGTGCGACATTCACAAAGCTAGAAGCCTAGCTCCGATAGCATGAAGAAAGTGGATCGGTGAACTTAGGGCACGATAGGAAGAAATCTCCATAGCAAGAAAATGGTACAAGTCTTAAAGACTAGAGCAAGGTCCTTGTCAAGGATGATCCCTAGTGAAGTGGGAAGCCACATATATGTGGCTGAACTCTTGAGGCTAGCTGCAGCACCTCAATGCTGAGGGCTAGGCTAGCCAACCTTGCCAAGCTAGCAAGTGAGGCCACATGTTGCACATGTGGGCCAGGCTGGAACAACAGCCCACATGACAGCATATGGCACACCATAGAGGCCAGCAAGGTGAGTGTGGGATGAGTGGACAGGTGGCAATGCCAACTGTGACCACACTCAACTGTGATGGAGTGTGGTAGAGTGTGGACATGTAATGTGGAGCATAATGAGAAGGGAACCTGCACCTACTAAGAATTGAACCCACAACCTCTAAGATCACAGGTGAGAATCTACCCTCTGGGACATATTTGTTGCACAACAGCTCTCATGTCACTCGTTTTCATGTCACTCGCTCTCATGTCACTCGCTCTCATGTCACTCGCTCTCATGTCACTCGCTCTCATGTCACTCGCTCTCATGTCACTCGCTCTCATGTCACTCGCTCTCATGTCACTCGCTCTCATGTCACTCGCTCTCATGTCACTCGCTCTCATGTCACTCGCTCTCATGTCACTCGCTTTCATGTCACTCGCTTTCATGTCACTCGCTCTCATGTCACTCGCTCTCATGTCACTCGCTCTCATGTCACTCATTTTAATGTCACTCGCTCTCATGTCACTCGCTCTCATGTCACTCGCTCTCATATCACTCGCTTTCATGTCACTCGCTTTCATGTCACTCGCTCTCATGTCACTCGCTCTCATGTCACTCGCTCTCATGTCACTCGCTTTCATATCACTCGCTTTCATGTCACTCGCTCTCATGTCACTCGCTCTCATGTCACTCGCTCTAATGTCACTCGCTCTCATGTCACTCGCTTTCATGTCACTCGCTCTCGTGTCACTCGCTCTCATGTCACTTGCTCTCATGTCACTCGCTTTCACGTCACTCGCTTTCGTGTCACTCGCTTTCGTGTCACTCGCTTTCATGTCATTCGCTTTCATGTCACTCGCTCTCATGTAACTCGCTCTCATGTTACTCTCTCTCATGTCACTTGCTCTCATGTCACTCGCTTTCGTATCACTCGCTTTCGTGTCACTCGCTTTCATGTCACTCGCTTTCATGTCACTCGCTTTCATGTCACTCGCTCTCATGTCACTCGCTTTCAAGTCACTCGCTTTCAGGTCACTCGCTTTCATGTCACTCGCTCTCATGTCACTCGCTCTCATGTCACTCGCTCTCATGTCACTCGCTCTCATGTCACTCGTTTTCATGTCACTGGCTTTCATGTCACTTGCTTTCATGTCACTCGCTTTCATGTCGGTCGCTCTCATGTCTCTCGCTCTCATGTCACTCGCTCTCATGTCACTCGCTCTCATGTCACTCGCTCTCATGTCACTCGCTCTCATGTCACTCGCTTTCATGTCAGTGGCTTTCATGTCACTTGCTTTCATGTCACTCGCTTTCATGTCGGTCGCTCTCATGTCACTCGCTCTCATGTCACTCACTCTCATGTCACTCGCTCTCATGTCACTCGCTCTC